GTGGACGTTTGGTCTTCTTCAACATTTTGCTGCTATATATATGTGCAGCAGATGTTGAAGAAAGACACTCAACACACAATACACAATTCGCTCAACAAATTGGCTATATATACATTTGCACTCCTTCCTCTCAGCATTTTCATACGATTTTCTGAGTTTATACTCCTTCGTTCTGCATTGTTTTTTAACTTCAAACAAAGCAACTCTAAGTGTGATTTGCTACCGAACTTTGTATTCGCTGAAACACTGGGGTTTGAAGTACCGCTACACCAGTGTGTTATTCGTTCTATCCTGGGAGGAAATAATCCATTACCTTGGGTACTAAGAGGGGATTAAATTCCTTAAGAAAACACTGTGAATTCAGTGGGCTCGAATTTATTATTGTTTCATTACGTTAACTTATATTTTGCAGAATTATTATTTACAAATACAGCAATATTGGCGGGAATAATAGTTATATAGGTGGGTACAGTACATTTTATTTTAATCAGTTAAGAAATGAGCTGAGCTTTCTCTCTCTATCTCTTCTCTTATTCTTCTCTATTCATCTCTGATCTCGGCCTTCACGAAGAGCTCAATCATGGCGGACCTAGGCCTTAATTTTGACAAAATTAGTATTAAACAGTCTTCATGATAAAACATGTATTCAGAATCAAACTTAATTGCCCAGAATACCAATGTTTTTAGAGCTCATTTTTTATAGTGGATACAAATTTTACATGCATATTTTTTTCGTAGTTGTCCGAGTATATGCGAGAGTAGTACGTGCACTTTTTGAAAAATACACAGTTTTAATCTTTCAACAATTTCGCCCAACAGGTAATATATCTATTGAAAGGAATATTGGAACAAAGGTAAAGTTATCTCCACGTGAACAATATTTACGGTTCCGAGTTACGGAAGAAGTCGTTAATGCTTGCATTAGAGCATGTTATCCACATAACACCCTTGGGGTACGACCCTTTTCCGGACCCTTAGTAAATATGAGATATTTTGTCCATTGAGTTGTCTTTTTGCCCCTTAGATTATATATTTATTGCTTATTATTTACGTCACCCCCGCATTTATGCAAAAAAAGTAGCCAGCAAACTCTAAGTTAGCGAGTAATTTAATTTCCTATGATCTAACGAGAAGTGAATGGTTTTTTCTTTCTTTAGCTTAAAACAAGAAGAAGAAAAAAAGAATTTCAGCCCAGAAAGGATGAGTGGGACAACACATGCAAGATGGGATTGGGATGTAATAATATGTAGCTTACAAACTAGTGAAGAACTAGTATTAAAATGCTCATAGTTCTGTTAGTTGGGCTGGAATTGGAATGAAGTGAATATATAGTGCTTGGATGAGAATCAAAATTATTGAGTGAGTTTCCGTCTTAAAATTATCTTTTTCCTTTACTTTGTTGGTTTTACAAATTCAAGTGTTACTGATAAATTATGCTCCTGAATCCTAATCCATTTTAAGGACATTTTATCATTATTTAAAGGTCGAGTTACCCCACGCCAAAGAAAATAAAAGGAGAATAGAAAATGAGAAAATGTATCATTGCTGATATGTAAGGAATAAACTAGAATAACAAATTAATTACGATGGGTTCAACCGTGCAAGTGTTAGACCAACTTGACCAACAATGGTCCACTTATGATAATGATGGTTGGGCAAACGGGGACAGGAATTATGAGAATGGGACCGCTGGAGAATTTCAGAAATATGTTTACTTTTGTTGAAGTTGAAACCATACACTATTGACTTCTTTGTAATGAATAATTTATGTTCAAACTTCAAAGCAATTATGTTACATAATATAAATCCAATATTTTTTCAAATAAATGGAGTAGTACAAAAGATGAAAAAAAAATTGAACATGAAAAGTTGTGCTAGTTTATTCAAAGGACTATCTAAAATAACTAGTTTCTGCTGATAAGTTTCAAAATGTTTTACTGTAAAAACAGAACTATAATTGACAAGCTCGTGCTAATTTTGAAGTTCTTTTACATTTACCCAATTTGTAAGGAAAGAGGAAAGATCCAACTCGATTAGCAATAGTTATGAGGTCATTATATTTGATCTCGTGACATCGTTTAAATGTGACCTCTTAAGTGGATGTTGCCGCATAAAATTAAGAAGTGGTTTTAATCACAGGATGATAGTTTGTTGCTCTTCGCTGGGTTAATTACGTGGGTAATGATATGAAGTGCCAAAAATTTAAAACTCATGTACGACATCGGACATACTACACAGGTAACTAACACAGACCGGTTAAAGTTAGGGAGGAGCATAATTTGGGCAAATCGAAATCTAAATCGAAATTCGAACTTTTTAAATTTTTTATTTGGATTTCCGGATTACGGATTAAATTTCAAATTTAAATTTTTTTAAAATTAGATTTTGGTTGTAGAATTTTGGATTTTAGATATCCGAATCTGAAATTTTTATACTTCATATTTGTCTCTTCATATTTTGGATGAAGAGACAAATACTACAACAACAACAACAACAACAATCCAGTATAATCCCACTAGTGAGATCTGGGGAGAATAGTTTGTACGCAAACCTTACTCATACCCTGGAGTAGAGAGACTGTTTTCGATAGACCATCGGCTCCCTCCCTCCAAAAACTCCCCGCCTCTTGATTGGAATTGGATGCAACTCATACTTTACTTCATACTTTCAAATGAATTAGTCACAATAAAGTATTATATTTTTCCGGTAAATGGAAAAGTTGTCTATCAAAATAGGTTGGATGGTCATGGTCCCTTTGGGCAGTATGATAATCTGATCCAACTAAGCATTACTTAATCTTATATTAGCTGACATTTAGTAGTGGGATTAGTTTCACACTCTTAATACATACATAGAAAAGGCATTGAGTAATGAGAAAAAGAAATAGCAAGATAACAAAGAAAACTTTCGGCTTGCAATTGCGTTGTACTTGGGCCAATATATGGATATGAGCCGCCAATTTATTCTATTCAACGCAAAACACACCACAGTACGTTCCAACTCATTTCTGGCATTCGAGTCCAATTTGATCTGCCTAACTTGATGATTTCAGTTTTCAAAATTAAAAGTTTATCAATAAAAATATCCAATCATCTTGTTACAGTACAATGCGAAAGAAAGTAAAAGATATACGCCTTTTCTTTTCCATCTATATTTAAAGAATCAAAAGATCAATTTGAGAAAAGTAGTATATTGATATTCCTCCACCTTTCATCTCCTTCTTTACCATCTAAACAAATGAGAGAGAAAGCTCGTTTATCATTTTATTTTAGCTTGCCTTCAAATATTATAAGCTGTCCAAACTGCCAAGAGACAGTTCCTTTGCACAAGAAATTAATATATTTACATGGGTTGCCCTCATTTAATCGTATCAACAGATCATATTGTTTTTCGTGGATTATATTAGCATATATATTGAGGTGCCGAAAAAGACCTAATTGAGAAGACAAGATGTCAAAGTTCTTTAAAAAAATCCAAGAAGCTAGCATCGATGGCTGACTTATAACTGACAGCTCCTAATCATTTGCCAGATTGGCTCACTTTTGGAGACTTCAATACAGGACATGTACAGTTGATGCTGACTTGTCCACTTAAGATTTTGAGTCATTGGTGGCGACTTGTAGATGCGTGTGGACAATGTTTTGCTGACTCCTTGACCTAACAGGCTCACGTTTTCCATTAAGTACTACGAGCAGTGTAGCCGGCGGGTTCGGCTGAACCTAATAGTTTTCGTTTGAACCTTATATTTATTTTTAAAAAATCTAATTTAATGTATAAATTATTAATTTAGAACTCAGTAGCTTAAAAATATTAGAATTCTGAACCCATAAGTTTAAAATCCTGGTTCCGCTTCTCACTACAGTACTCCTTTTTGTATTCTTTTAAAAGTGATCTATTCCTCTATTATCTGTGTATATCTCTTGTAGGAGATTTGACACTCTACGTCGAATATCCATGACTCTGGATTACTGAAAAAAGTTTTCTAAAGAAGTTTTTTTACAAAAGTTTTTCTGCGGAAACAAGAATTAATGTGCTTGATAGTTGTTTTTCAGAAGTCTTTGGAGACGGGAAATGTGAGCAAATTCATACACAGTAAATTTGAAACATACTCTGATCCAGTAGCGAATGAAGTGTTATGCCATCTGACTTTCGATGCAAAGATAAAAATATAATAAAACCACAACAAATAGTAGTTAAACCATAAAACTTAATTCCCGGACCCGCCTCTACTCTTATCTAATTACTAGTTTAATTTAAAAGTGAACACAGTTATTGTAATGGTTGCATAAAAACAGCGCATCTAGCATTTGCGAAAATATAGACCCTTGTTCCCCTTATTAGCTTCCTAATCTCAGAAACAGATCATTTTGCAAGAATAAATATTGAGCTTTAAACATACAACGCACGTACAAAAGCTACTCATAGATCGCTCCTCCTAAGACTGCGCAAGGGTAAATATTTCCAAAATTTAAGCTCTATCGGTTAATATTTAAGATTTTTACACATAAATTTTAAATTTGTACTCTGCATCGAAAGTATTGAGTTCAAATGAACCCAGTATTCCTTAGCTACATCTGCCCCTGGTCAATATGATTTATTGATGAAAATTCTAAAAGAAAAGTACCACTTTGAACTTCAAATATGATATTAAACATAAAAATACAGTCTGAAATGAACTTGAGTGGAAAGTGCTAAAAGGTAGTCAAGATTCAAGAAACAACCACTGCCATTTTATTTAGGACGTACTTTATTAAGGTAGGACAGCAGACCATAGAATATAATTTGCTCAGTTTTGCATTATATAAATTAAGGACGAATATCCAGACTACACTCAAATGGTTTTAAGTGCAAAGCTGTAGGAAATTTCCAATTCCTTTCTTGTTGACCAAGGACAAGCAGTCATGTATGATGTTTAAATAGTTATTACCAGCGCTTAAATAATATTAAAGCGCTAACATGTTTTTGGAAAAATAAAAAATAAAAAAAATAAAATCAGAATCTTTATTCTGAAATCAGAAGTGGATTTAACGTCTCACTTTTCTCAATACCAGAAGTTCCTTATCGTGTGTGCGCTTCAAAGCAGAGAACCACAAGTAGTTTTATTGGTTATTTTACAGGTAAACATTAAGGTACATCAAAAAAACACTTCTTAATCTGTTATTAGGATACATCTGAACTCACAAAAGCTAACATACATGAACATCTGAAACAAGCAGCTCAAAATTTTACATGCACTCCAAGCAATGCTATGAACTGAGAAATAAACTCTGGATGACCTGGCCATGCTGCCCCTGTCACTAAATGTCCGTCGGTGAAGCAACGATCTATTGGTTCTGGTTCTAACCATGTTCCCCCTCCCAGAATAACATTAAGTTTTACAGCAGGGTATGCAGTACACTTCTTCCCCTGTAGTTGTTTAATGAGCACAGATTAGAGTATGCACGCACACGTGAACAACGCATGATTCCATGTTATTTCATTTCTGAAGTATACGGCAGTTAACATTCCCATTGACATGTTCTAATTACTGCTAATGATTATTGAGATCAATATTCTGCATAACATATTATTCTTGAAGCTATTTGCGGATAACATGTAAAGTTTCCGAAAATCGGTTGATTGCTTTTCTTCTTTTTCCCATTGTTGACTTTGCTGTCTTTGGTAAAAAAGGGGAATAGCTGAAATATCATGCATGCATCAAGCTGCGTAACTTCAATTCTAAATGATGTTAAGAGAGTTACCTTGAGAACGCCAGCAGCAGATAGAATCTGTTGCCCGTGGCAGATTGATGCAACTGGTTTTTTGGACTCCATAAATTCCTTTACCAACTTAATAACAGCATCATCCAGGGCAAGATATTCCGGAGCTCGGCCTCCAGGAATTACAAGTCCATCATAGCTTGAAGCGTCCGCACTTTCAAAATTGGCATTTAGGGTAAAATCATGACCTGGCTTCTCACTGTAAGTCTGGTCACCTTCAAAATCATGCACAGCAGTGGGGCATTTATCACCAGCTTTCTTTTTGGGGCAAACAGCATCAACATGGCATTCAAGAGCTTGGAGGGACTGAAAAGGTACCATCACTTCATAGTCTTCCATGAAATCCTACAACCCCAAGAACATAGACACAAGGGAGTACAGATTAGTTGCTAAATAAAACGTCATCAAATACAAGTTTAACCACCTTAGACCAGAATAAAAGCAAACTCAGATATGAAATTGGCACATATCTGTGATATTGGCCAGCTGAATCAAATGGAAAAACAAAGCCCCTATCATGTGGTAGTTTCAAGCATTTCGTGGAACATCTTTCAGGACGTCCAATTCCCAGACCACAGAACAATGGGTTCAATTAGATAAAGTAACAGGGAGCATGAAAACATGGTAAGCAAGGTCCGAAAGAGTGACTCCAGGGAGATAAGAAGATAAATATCTAGCAGTACATCTAATCCGATTGTGTATCTAGCTTGGAAGAGGAGTACAGGTAAAGAGAAGGGGGTTCATGAACTGAATAATCATTTTGTTGGTTAACAATTGTATATCCTGTTCATGATGAATCTCCCAACTTATGGAAGGAATTTGCATTAAAAAAACATCAAGGAGCCAAGGGCCCAGCTATCAGTAGTTTGCCCTGATTGCATGATTCACAGGGGTGGGAGAGTCAACGCTTTCCTTTCTTTTTCTTTTCTACTTGGAGAACAAATTTACCAAAACGACACAGTTCATGAGCCAAAAATACAACCCTCCAACAGAATTACAAGAACTTCTGCCTATAACCATACAGAACATGGAGGATAAAGTAGCCAGATATCACATTCAAGAGACAACACTGTACTCTTTAAAACAGTTAAGACGCCTCTGCTGCCATGTCCCTTAAAAGAATGACGTGGTAATCCTATACGATAAGCACTACAAATGGTTAAACATTTGTTTACAAAGGTAAAAGGTGCCCTGCAATCTCTTAAGAAGAACACAATACATTAGGGTATGGCAGAAGGAATAGCTTAACCTAAATATGTGCGTAGAAAGTTGCTACAAGCTCTCTGGGTGAATATTTTAGATGCAATACTGTGTGTTTTTACAACAAAGAGATCCATGAATTCCTATTATGGATGGTTTGTAGCACTCCGAGAGAACAAAGAGTTAGGAATGAGAGCCATTTGCCTCTACCTTTGCCAGCCTTCATCTTAATCATAGGTTAACGTGGACCCACAGGGGACATAAAATAGAACAGTTTTCCTATGAAATTTGATGAGTAGCTTCTGCATATGGGAAGAATTTAGGTAACATTTTTTTGCCCCTACTGGTATTTGCACCTAGTCTCACATGGTACATTCAAACTTAAGTGATGACACCCATAGGTGCACCTACTTATCTTCATTCTCACAATTCCTAAATTTTGATTACACCATAAACGTAGAACGTATTACTTTTGAATTACTCTGACAACTACATGCATCTCATACAGGCATAAATCATGAAAAAAAATCTTATTCGATCTCTCAGAGTTTATGGCAGTCTAACTCTCATCTTCTTCAACAAATCCTCCATGGGACATAGGAGCACACACTACCACAGCTAAGTAACAGCTTGACAAATAATCAATCCATATAATCGAACTTAAGATGACAGGTTAAACTGGAGGCTCTTTCTTATCTATGCAGACATGACATTTCAAACATCAGGTGATTATCTGATTCCTCACCAGCATGCGGCAAGCATAAATATGACACAACCAAATCGAATTAAAATAAAGAGAGAATGTTATGGCACACATTGGAAGTTTCATAGAGAAAGTTTTCTGTCACCTATATACCAACAGAACCAGCTATATTTAGGAGGATTACATATGTATCTGTTCTTCTTTTTGAGAATGACGATTACATATGTCTGTTCTTCTAAAACAATTGGGACGAGACGTGGTGTTAAAGCTCTTAAGTTAGACCACAATCTTTACAACTAATTCATATACTACCATTTACCAGTAAAATGCAATTCGAAACTAAGCATGTCAAATTCTCTCGGCTAAAACAAAATAATGTTACATGATCATAACTTACCCCACACAGAAATAGGATTCTTTTACCAGAACCAACTATTCTGCCACCAAGTGCCTTGACAAAGAGTCGGATGAATTCAGGATGACCTTCATAAGTAGGTCCGGTGATAAGATTACCGTCGATGGTACATGAAGCCATCGTCTCTGGTTCTTCCCAATGGGCACCAGCAGCAAGAAGTACCGGTTTCACAGCAGGAAAAGCTGTGCACTTTCGACCTCTGACCACATCTGCAGCAGCCAGGATCAATTGTCCATGACAGATAGAGGCAATTGGCTTTTTAGAGTTGGCAAAACTTTTCACCAAGTCCAACACAGATTCATTCATGGCTAGATATTCTGGAGCACGTCCTCCTGGAATAACCAAGCCATCATACCTTGTAGCCTCTATTTCATCAAAGGTTGCATTAAGAGCAAAATTGTGTCCCCGGGACTCTGAATATGTCTGAAACAATTCTAAAATTAAACAAAACTATACGGCCACAAAAATGTTAATACAATCACAATTTCAAATTCTATAATAAAATAACTGATGAGTGCTAATGCATAAACACATGTGCGCAAGCGGGTATAGACTATAGACATAAAATTTGGTTAAGGAATTGCTGGAAATTGTATAAAAACTAGTATTCCAATTGACCCGGCTCATATCTAGCCAACTTGTGTAGCAACATAAAGTAGGTCCACAGAAAAATCACTCTCCTTCTCTTGCCCTCAGCTGTAAATTATCCCGAGTTAAGTGGTCTAGGCATACTTAGAGACACATCATCACTTGCTTAAGGCTAAAAAAATGCACTTAAATACCCCAGTATCATAAGTTATATGCCCATGGGCAATGAAAGCTCCTTTATTTCCTTAAATTCAAATGTCATAATTCATAAAGCCTGAACCTTGTGAGATTTGGAATGATGGGTATAAACTAATTAAACGGAAAACACTGAGTAAAGCTCAGAACAATGAGAGAACACATCAAGTTTAATCTTTAATCACAATCAGGTACTAGCCAATGGGGCAGACGCAGAAGGATAAGTTCTAATCATTAAATAACTAAAATTCCACCCAAAATCTAGCAAATAAATATACTAGGAATAAGAACTAAGCAGATTCAAATTAATAGGGAAGATAGAAGGACCTGGTGACCAGAAAGCTGATGGACAGCAGTACGGCAAATGTCACCGGCTTTCTTGCCTGGACAAACTGCATCAACGGCTACTCCATAGGCTAGCAGAGCTTGAAACGGTACCATCACCTGAACGAAAAGAAAATCAGTGACCCGTTAATCATTCTAATAGTATTGTCCAACGACAGACTAGAAATCAAGAACTGTGGAAAAAACATGAAGCAGAAAACACCTCGTAGTCTTCAACGTAATCTCCACATAGTAAGAGAACCCTTTTCTGATTCGCCATTCTTCACAGGTCTCTGTGTGTGTGGATCAGAAGAAGTTCATGAAATGTTTCTCTCAGATATATGGACAAGTGTAGAAGGTTCTGCTGAATACTGCAGTAGTAGTAATAGTTTAGAAAAATATAACGAATAATTAAAAAAGGGATTCCCACAACATAAGGTGGACGTGCCGGAGTGGTTATCGGGCATGACTAGAAATCATGTGGGCTTTGCCCGCGCAGGTTCGAATCCTGCCGTCCACGTTTTTTCCTTCATTATTTTTTGTTTTTGACGGCAACTGCATTTTGCTGCTTCTTAAAGTGGCCAAATCCAATACATCTTGATGCTAAACTAATGGAGTTAGCTATATTTTCAAAGGGATTCGTCACAATTAGTTTCTATGATAGTTAATGTGGTTTAGTCTCTTCTCCAACTTGTGCCTTCTTAGTGGTTAGTCTACCATTAGCATCTAATAGATTTTTTAATCTGCCTTTGATTTTTAGAGAAATTTAACCTCTCACAATCTTAATCTTTTGTATGAACTTTTAGATCAATTATACTTAGTAAACATAAGTGGAGTTCGAATTTTCTGTTAATTATGTTGTTTACCCGAAAAACGGATAGAGTTGAATTTATACGTAGTTCTAGGGATACGTGATATAACTTGATACAAATCGGAAAGTAAGTAGAAATATATTGAGTATTGATTGTATAAAGAATGAAATACGAACCAAACTGAATGAAAAATGGTTTATGAACAATCAAGACGAATCAATATACAAAACCCAAAAAAAGGATAATCTTTATGTGAATATCACTATGTTTTTCTCTGTGAATATCAATAATATCAGAGTGTATCAATGCCTTAATCTTGGGTGCTTTACAGAAATAATAGTCATCCCTTTTATAGTGGAGGGATCCTACTTTGGATATAATTAAAAATATATAGTGGGGAACCTATGATAGAATAGTTTTTCCCTAATTCCAGTCGAGATTCTCTCTCCTTAGTGCGACTGTAACGGCTCTTGTCTCTTGGCTCGATCTCGATCGGACTTGGTATTGGTTGGTTTCCAGATTTATAGCTCGATATTGACTCGGACTCGATGTTGACTCGGGACCTGGTATTGACTTGGGCTCGGTATTAGTCGGTCTCTGGCTCTCAAGCTCGATAACGCCGCTTCGCATCATAGTTCGATTTGGATTCGAGCTCGATAATGACTTCGAGTATGGTATTTGATCGGTCCCAGAAATTTGAGCTCGGTAACCTGGCTTCGGATCTCATACCTGATATTATGAAGATGACCTTCGATCCATTATATTCTAATTTTTGACTAATCATACGAAGGTTGAAATCGGTTTTGACTGTATACAGATAGTCCCCTCGTTTCTCGGGAAGAATGTTGCGAGAAACGACATGATTTTCAAGCTGTATGCCTCGATACAAACTGACATTTGCATCGAGCCCGACCATGACGTACGTGATATATGTCCCGTCGGTTCAGTTTACCAATGCATTAAATGCGTGTCAGACGATGGTCGGCCATTGTTGACACTGAACCGTCATTGCCAACCCTATAAATAACCCCTCTTCTTACCACTTCTTACTTTTACATCTCCAAATCTTCTAAGTTCCCTTTCGCATCTTCTGAGTTCCTCATCTGTGAATTTTGTGATTTTCACTGCAAAATTCCTCTTTAGAACACCAAATCTTGTCATCTTCCTCTATCTTCAAATTCCAATGGCGAAAATGTCAAAAACCGTTCCTCAGAAAGAAAAAGCTTCTTATTCGCGGCCCGTCGACGACAAAACACCGGTAGAGCCACGACCTGAGGAATGTGTTCCCGGGGGGTGTGTTCTTACCTCCGATTTTAAGATCGAAAAAGCTTCGCCGGTTCCTAGTCGATGCGAACCAATATCGAGGTATATGTGCTCGATAACCAAGGGTCATCTTGAACAATTAAGGAAAGATTGCAACTGGGAGGACAAAGAAGTGATAATCCCGGCTCCCGAAGAAGATATTACTACTCATATGAAAGGGTTTTTAAGTGCGTACACTTACCCTTTCACGTTGGGCCCCCTCAACCCTGTTGTCATCGATTTTTGCCGCCAATACCAAGTAACTCTAGGTCAAATCCACCCTTCTTTTTTACGGATCGTTATTCTGATCCGCTTCTTCGTGAACAAAGTCGAGGGGATGCCTTTCACCATCGACCACCTCATTAGATTGTACAACCCCCGCTTCTATCGAGGTGGGTTAATAAAACTCCAATGCCGGGCTACCAAAGTGATGATCTCGAGCATAGACGAGGACAAAGACCGGAGCTGGATAGGTAGGTTCGTTCGAGTGAAGACTTCAGACCTAATCCCGACCGAGAAGATGTCATTTCCCGAGGAATGGAACATGAAGCGTAAGTATAATTCTATTGTTAGCTTTTATTGTTTTGCTCCTTCGTTTCTTTCTCACCAATATCCTTTTTGCGATGCAGCGGTTGCTTGGATGCCCGGTGCAGTTCCTAACCTTAAGAGCTGGGTACGGGACCTGGCTTCGACCTCTACATATGCCGAACGCTCGTGGCGCGATTTATCAAAAGGCCGATGGAAGGCCAAAAATCATGGTAAGCCTCTTTCCCATATCTTTGATGATTCGAACAAAATATTTTTCTTATACTTAACCAATGTTTTTGTGTGTAGGCCTGGGCAAAGATGCGGTTATGAGGCCCCCGTCTGGCGAGGAAAAGACTTTGGCCCCGATTCCAAAACCGGCGAAGGACAACAAAAGAAAATGGGTCTCTACCTCCGAGGATCCAACACTTAAGAAAAAGGCAGCTCGTAAGACGAGAAAGAACACCATCCCTTTGACCAAAAAATCAGTTCGGTGTCTAAGGGATGAAGACGAAGACGAAGAAGAAAATGACGGGTCCATACTGGTGGCCCGAGTGAAGAAAATTATCAATGCCCCAAAGGCAGCGGGGTCGATGGCGTTTGATGAGGCTCCATCTCGAACTGAGGGGATGTCGGAGAAGGACTTGGGGCAAAGTCCCGGAGTCATTGGAGATCGAGGATACCTCCCACCGAAGTCAACAAACGATGAGTATAGTAATCGACTCGTTTGGGGCAATAGTAATCGGAGACTCGCCTACTCTCCCTGAATCGGGTAAGTCTTGATTCCCTTTGTTGATGTCATATTTTTCCATTTTCTGCCTAACTTTTTCTCTTTTTCGTATAGGCTTTAGCTCTTTATCAAGAGGAGTTTTCCATGTCTAGAACGGAACTGAGCCGACGTGAGGCCGACTTTCGAGGGCTTTCGGAAGAGAGAAATGCCCTGAAACTTCTTAATGGGCAGAAAGAGGAAGAGATCAAAGATCTCCGATCCGAGTTGGCCAAGGCATACCAAGATCAGACCGACCCGACCGAGCAGGTAATGATAATTTTAAAAACTCATGGGCTCGATTCAGGAATGGTGGCTAATATTTCGATCTCACAGCTGCAGCAGAAGCTTGAGGTGATCGGGTTGCTTCGTAAGGAGGTCGATACGATAAGGGTGGAGACCTTGGGGTGGAAAGAAGGCATAAACCACCTAGCTGTAGAAAAAGAGACTGCTCGAGCCCAATTATCATCGACCGAAAGTCAACTTCAAGGCATGAAGGATAAGAGCTCGGTTCAAGCAAGAAAAATAGAGGAGCTCGAGGCTCGGTTGGCTTTCGAACTTGCCAAGGCCAAATCTAAAGCTAAAAAGGCAAAGGCCGAGGCAGATGCATTCGTGGCCGTCTATCGGGCCGATGTTGAAACCACTCAAGTACAAGAGAAAAAGCCAGCCGAGACCGCTCAAACTCGATCATATTGGGTTGTTGAACTCGCCAAATGCCAATCTCGGAGGGAAACCCTGGAGGAGATCCATGCTCGAGGTTTCGATCTTACCGAAGAGATAAAAAAGGCTAAAGAGCTTGAAGCCGATGCCGGAGCCTTGGCTTCCGATGATGATGATGAGAGCAAAAGTGGGTCTGAGAGTGGGGAGGAGCCCGATGGAGAAGAGACTGCCCCCGGAGATAACCAGGAAACTTAGGGTGTTTTCCATTTTAATTTTTTATGTAGGGTCCTGATCAAACGTTGTAAATACTCTTATATATATAAAGATCTTTTCCTTTCCTCATTTGTCTCTATTTTATTCTCTGACTTGTGAATATTTTGTTTTATTCATGCCTTATGAAAGTTTTCATAAGTTCGAGGCCTTAGGCAATTTGATCGAAGTCGGACCTTGTAACCTTTATAATAGAGTGAGCGATAGTTTGAACTTGAAATAAAAAGTAGCCCTTAGGCTTAATAGCCGAGTGCATTTGGTTTCTCTAGCTAGAAGTAAAAGTAGCCCGTAGGCTTTAATAGTCGAGTGAGTGCTTGCCCGAACTCGAAGTAAGAGTAGCCCTTAGGCTCAGTAGTCGAGTGAGTGTTTGCTCGAACTCAAAGAAAGAGTAGCCCTTAGACTCAGTAGTCGAGTGAGTGTTTGCTCGAACTCGAAGAAAGAGTAGCCCTTAGGCTCAGTAGTCGAGTGAGTGTTTGCTCGAACTCGAAATAAGAGTAGCCCTTATGCTTTAATAATCGAGTGAGTGATTGCTCGAACTCAAAGTAATGTAGCTTGTAGGCTTAGTAGTCGAGTGAGTGCTTGCTCGAACTCGAATAAATGTAGCCCTTAGGCTTAGTAATCGAGTGAGTGTTTGCTCGGACTCGATGTAATATAGCCCATAGGCTTAGTAGTCGAGTTAGTGTTTGCTCAAACTTGAAGTAAGAGTAGCCCGTAAGCTTTAATAATCGAGTGAGTGATTGCTCGAACTCGAAGTAATGTAGCCTGTAGGCTTAGTAGTCGAGTGAGTGCTTGCTCGAACTCGAAGAAATGTAGCCCGTAGGCTTAGTAGTCGAGTGAGTGTTTGCTCGGACTCGAAGTAATATATCCCATAGGCTTAGTGGTCGAGTGAGTGTTTGATCGAACTCGAAGTAATGTAGCCCGTAGGCTTTATCCTCGAGTGAGTGACTACTCGAACTCGCAATAAGATTATCCCTTAGGCTTAGTAGTCGAGTGAGCGTTTGCTCGAAATCGAAGTAATAT